TCTCTATGTATGTATGTATGTATGTAGAGAGAGAGAGAGAGCTCTGGTAGCGTAGTGGTTACGAATCAGGCTGCAAACGGCAAGGTCAGCAATTCGAAACTACCAGCTGTTCTGCGGGAGAAAGATGAGGCTTTCTGCTTCCGTAAAGATTTACAGCCTCAGAAACCCTATACAGGGTTGCTATGAGTTGGAACCAACTCCACGGCACATAACAACAACAACAAATGTATATATATATATTTAGAGAGAGAGAGAGAACTTAATTATCTAGGAAATGGCTTATGATTGTAGAGTACCAAGTGCCCAGTGGAAGAGAGAGTCTTTCCCATATGTCCATTACATTGGGAGCAGGCCACATCCCTAAGAAAGCATCCCTTCAGTTGATTGGCTGCTTATAGCCATTCATCTTAGATTTAACTATGCCTGTATTATGTTTCATCACCATGGTAATAAGCACATCTCAACTGGAAATCCTGGCCTAGTCAAGTTGACACAAAACCCTAACAATTACACTCCACCTTGTCAACTTGAAATCTATAAACTATATGTAATCTCTAAATGAGTCCTCATGTGGCACTGTAGGATAAGCACTCTACCACAAGGACAGCTTAAACCATGAGGATTGTGGTTCAAACTCATCAGCCACTCTTTGGAAAACCTATACAGTGTTGCTATGGGTTGGAACTGATTCGATGGCACTTAACAAAAACATCAATCTCTAAATAAAGAAAATTATAAAGTCATATTTGCACCTAACATAACATAGCTAAAACACATACAATCGAAAACGCACTGGCCCCACTTACATATTATGTCACAAATGAACAAAGCAAAAATATTAGATGCACACATTCTTATTATTATTGTTATGTGCTGTCATGTTGGTTCCAACTCATAGCAACCCTGTTTCGTGTTTCTGAGGAATGGCTGGTGAGTTTGAACTCACCACATACAAATTGCACACATACAAAACAAAAATATATATTCATTTAAATGTCCAAAAGGCACATTCTTCAAGCCAGTTTCTTGCCTGTAGGCACACAGCCTTACTCAGTCCCTGGGTATTAGGCAAATCTGCTGCACAAGACCTTTTTAAAGTGTTGAAGAGCAAAGATATCAGCTTGAGGACTAAGGTGCATCTGACCCAAGCCATGGTATTTTCAATAATCTCATATGCATGTGAAAGCTGGATAGTGAATAAGGAAGGCCATAGAAGAATTGATGCCTTTGAGTTACGGTGTTGGAGGAGAATATTGAAAGTGCCATGAACTGCCAAAAGAACCAGTAGATCCATTTTGGAAGAAGTGCAGTCAGAATGCTCCTTGGAGGCCAAGATGGCCAAACTTCGTCTCTCATCCTTCAGACATATTGTCAGGAGGGACCAGACGCTGGAGAAGGATATCATGTTTGGTAAGGTAGAGGGTCAGAGAAAAATAGGAAGACCCCCAGCGAGATGGATTGGCCAAGTGGCAGCATCAATGGACTCAAGCATGGTAGCAATAGTAAGATTGGCCCAGGATTGGGCAGTGTTTCTTTCTGCTGTGCATAAGGTGGCTATGAATCGGTACCGACTCGATGGCACCTAAAAACAACAACAAAAAAAAGTGGTTCTATAAGATCAACACTGGACTACAAACCTCAAGGTCAGTAGTTCAAACCCATCAGCTGCCTCTCAGACACCCTATATAGGGTTGCTCTGAGTCTGAACTGCCCTGATGACACTTGACAACAACAACAACAACAATCAGCCCAGTATATTGAGGAGACAAGCATGCCCTTTGATGTGAAAAACCTTCCATTCTGGTTGGAATTTTGAGCAAATT